GGCCTGGCCTATGTAGCAAGTTCCAGGTCAGTCAGGGATACATAGTCAGAATCAGAATCAGAACAAACAAAAGAATTAAATAACTAACAGGCTTAAGAATTTAGTGGGGGAAATAAACAGCACCTAGTGGCATACAGTTCATGAGGAGATGGAGAAATGGATAAAGTGCAAATTCTCATGATCTGCCTTTGAGGACTGTCAAGGCCTTGCTAGGGGACACTGAGAGAGGTCTGGGAAATGGAGAAATCTCTCACATGTAGGCTTGGCCATCCTGAAAACAACTGTCTCTTTAGACAGCTTGTCATGGAGATATCTCAGTGCCATATTCTTCACTGCATGAGGCCCAGTAGAGAAGAGACAGAAACAATGCGACTATCAGTCAATAGAAAAACTGATAAAGAAAGTGTGGTGCACAAACACATTAGAATACTGGTCATCCTCCAGAAAGGAAATGCTGCTGCTGTTGGTGGCAACCAGAATGTATCCAGAGGAAGTTACATGAAGCAAGCCAGTCACAGAATGACAAAAACACAGGATCTCACTTATGTATAGAATGCAAAGACATTCATCTCAGAGATGAAAAACAATGAGAGTAGAATGGTTATCAGAGGCTAAGGGAAGGGTAAATGGAGACAGAAAAGATGCTGGACAAAGATATGAAATTCCATTTTGATGGGAAAAATACATTTATTGAGTTCTACTGTGCATGAGAGTGGCAGATTGCTTATTTAAATTTTCCAAAAAATGGTAGATAGATGACATTGTCACACCTAAAACATAATGGATGTCAGAGGTGATGGACATGCAACTCAGCCTAATTTAATCATACTATGGTGTAAATGCACAACAAAGCATGGTGTTTTAAATAAGAAATCAAATAAAACAGGTAGAAAAGGAAGAGGGATGAAGGTTGCTTATCTGAGGATGTTTATGATTATAGGAAATGCTCATAGGTCTTCCTCCATGCCTCCTGGGTACATGTGATCCTCTTCAAACCTGCCCATGGATTCAGCAACAACCAAAGACATGACTCACCTTCTTGAGTCATAACTGTCCATCCTAGGCACAGCAGTGAAATAGAAATCTCAGTGAGAAAGACACTCACCATGTGGGTTGCTTAGAGATGAAAATATAGGAAGGACTAGATATAGGTGGGAACATTCATCCTACCATGATTACCCAGCCTTTGTCCCTCCATATCAATGCCAAAGTATAATTCTCCTTTTCACTCTGAAATAAGCCTAAGTAATGCCTCAGGCAAAAAGTGGAGACATAGACTCAAAATCCCAGCTAGCCAGCTGGTCCACACATTTAAGTATTACTTGAGCTATAAAGTTCAAAGTCAGCCCAAGCATCTTTCTGAGACCATGTCTCAAATCCAAAAGTAAAATGA